ATGCTGGTGGGGGACGGAGGTGGAGGCACATCTTCGGTCGCCCTCCCCAGCCTGGCTCCGCTTCCAAGGCGAAGGTGGTGACAGTTGCGCTGTGGTACAGGGGACAAGTGGATCTGGGGGGGGGACAGTCACCCCCAGGGTTTCTCCCATCCCTCTGACCCCACCGGGGTCTCTGCAATGGTTGCGATGGGGCTCTGCTGGGAAATGTCTGCTGGGCGGCGTGCATGGGCTGCAGGGTGCAAGATGCGCACATGGGGTGCACAGTGGGAGTACTGGGCTGCGGGCTGCACACGGGATGCGGGGTGCAGGCAGAAGCTGGCAGGGTGATGCTGGGGGACTGCGGAGGGTGCAGAGCCCCAGACCCAGGGCTGGCCTCCCGGCAGGCGCCCCTGCCCCATGCATGCAGCGGGTGGGCTGGAAAACCTACAGCTGCCGGGGTTTCTCTTTAGAAACCCATCTGAAACGGGAAAAAAAAAAAAAAATAGGTAGAACCAGCAAAAGCCCAGTTGCTTTGGGGCACGGGCTGAGGGCTGCTATGGGAAGGAGCTGAGCCTAATCCTGCAGCTCCAGGACTTTACCCAACAACAGTCCCCAGCTCTGGTGCGGGGTTTGGGTGCGGGGGGGCAGGACTGCACCCAGCCGCGCTCGCTTGCACCCACCAAGCTTGATGGCACCCGGTTAAATTTCAACCCAGTCTGTCCCTGGACTCTGGGACGGCTCCGGCTTCGCCCCGGGGATGCTCGGTTAATGTTTCAGCCTTGCTGGGACTGAAAACGCCCGGGTTGCTGGGTGCCAAAGGCGAAGGTCCCTCTGGGGCCAACACGCCTTTGTCACGGCTCAGACCGCAGCGTCCCCCCCCCCGGGGACCCAAACCCACCCTGGTGTAAGGGTGGCACGATGTGATCAGCTCTGCTTGTCCTCTGGACCAAAATCCCCTGGAAATATGCTGTTCTCATCTCTTTTTAATCGGCTTCTCCCTCAAAGGCTGTGAGGCACCCATGGGTGCTGGCAGCAGGGATGCTGATCTGCAGGGAGGACAGGGTGGGACCCTGGCTGTGCCTGGTGGTGAGGATTAAGGGACAATTATCTCCCTGCTCCCATACAGCCCAGTTCTGGCCCTGTCCTCCCTCCCCTCCTCCAGCCATTGTTCCTGGCCCTGTTTCGGAAAGGAAGCAATTAACTCGGAAAAGAGAAAAGAAGAAAGAAGCCCTTGGAGACTGAGAAATAAAGAATAAAGGCTGCCCATAATTAAATTTCAACCGTTTTATTTTTAAATGGAGAAGAAGGAAGGCAAAAAACCCAAACCCCACCTGATTTCTGCCTGGCCCAGACACTCAAAGAGCTTCATCAAAGCACTCCTGCCTCAGTTTCCCCACTGCTGTAGGGGAGGTAGCAGCTTTGGGAGCCCCCCCAAGTGCAGGCAGCTCTGGGGAGGAGCACGGCAGGCAGGGGACAAGTGGGAAGGCTCCAGCCACAAGCCAAATTTTTGGGCAAATCCCATCTCCATGTTCCTGCACAGGCTTGGAGACAGAGCCTCACGCGTCCGCCCCTCTGCCACTGCAGCAAGGCTTGCAGTTTGGGAATGCATTGCAATTTGGGAACTCATTGCAATTTGGGAGTGCATTGCAATTTGGGAATGCATTGCAATTTGGGAGTGCACTGCAATTTCGGAATGCATTGCAATTTCGGAATGCATTGCAATTTGGCAATGCATTGCAATTTCGGAATGCATTGCAATTTGGCAATGCATTGCAATTTGGGAGTGCGTTGGAATCTGGGAATTTGTGGTGCAGATGGGACAGTGAAGAAAGTAGCTGCAAAAGCAGGAAATCCCAGCAGGACCCTGCTGCTGGGCCAGCTCAACACCAGCAGCTGCAGAGGTGCCAGTGAGGGCGCAGAGTGGCCTCTCCCAGCTCCCATCCCCATTTTGGCTGCTCTGGAGAACCCCAGCCAGGCCACAGCAGCCGACAACCCCGTGTCACCCTGGCAGTGCAGGAGAGCTGGCCGTGTTCAGGGTCTCCAGCCCCACCATCCCCACACAAACCGCACACCCTGGCGTTGCAAACCCAACCAAAGCATCTGCTGGCATCGCGCTCCCACGATTTACACCAGCTGACGATGCTGAACTTGGGGGATTGAATCCTTCCCTGGTCTGGATGTGTCCCCCGGGGACTGCAAGAGAGCCCCAGCCAAGCTCTGCTGCCCTTGCTGCCTGGATCCCTCCAGGACAGATATGACGACACGCCGGGGCGTTTTACATCCCACCAAAAATTTCATCAATTCACAAATAAATTCACAAATAGCTTCAACACTGGGCAAAACACCAATGTTTGGGGTTTTTTTCTTTACTTTCATCCTTTAATTGAATTATTCCCTGCTGTTCAGCTGTAATTAGCCAAGCTGTGACATCCCTCCTGGATGCAGGCGAGAGCCGGCAGAGACCGAAGCGGTGGGGAGAGCTGCGTCCCTCCCCGTGTGCATCCCCTTCACCCCGCGCTGTTAATGAACAATCCCCTGGGAGGGTGTTTTGGGAGGTTTCAATAACCTTTGCACAGCACTTGGACCCAGAGCTGTCAGCCGGGCAGCCGGGGAGGTGTCTGACCCCAGCCAGCTGGCCCTCTTGGCATCTATCTGGCCTCGAAGGTGTGTCGGAGGATTATTCATTAATTTGCTGCATTGCAGCCAGGAAAACACCAGCGGGGATTTAGGATGGTCAGGAGGTCAAGGAGCTTTGGAAGTAGATGTGAAGTCCCATGGAAAAAGCTGCTGGAGGTGCCGTGAGGTCCTTCACGAGCTGCACGGCTCCTGCTCTGTAATTAAGAAGCAATTTTCCCGCCGGGTTGTGATTGTGCTGGAAAGGGCCGGTCTCCGAGCATCCCGCCAGCATGCGAAGGCAGCTGCCCGCAGCGGCGGTTCCCGGCCCACTCGGGGCTTGGAGCGGTGCTCCTGGAGGTCACCTTGCCCGAGTTAGCCAGCTCAGAAAAAAATCGTTATCATCCCCTCCTTAATGAGGGACCAGGGAGGGTTTGCTTATCACCAAAGCGCAGCCACGGAGCGCGGCAGAGCTCCTGTAAATCGCCGCTCCTCGCGTGTCCTTCAGATGAGACCCATTACCCGGCTGGATCCTGTCCCCCCCCTTTGCTCCCGGTGGGACGGCAGAGCGATTTTGGGGTGCAAGGCAAGTGTGCAAGGCGTGGAGCATCCTCCTCCTCGCAAGCCAGGCAGCGAAGCCCCCCAGCACCCGTTTTGCATGTGGCGCTGCAATGCAGCGAGGCCGTCGCATCGCTCGCTGCCTGACCCCCGCCGTGCGCCGGGTCCCCCCAAACCTGGCAAGGGCCGTTTCCCAATTCCCCCCTTTGCCTGGATTGCCCGGTGCAAAAGGCTGCAGGTTCAGGGGACCCGCTCCAGGGTGAGGACCCCCAAAAGGGAAGCAGCTTCTCCCCAAAACCCTGGGAACTTGCAGCATCCTTGTAGGACGCGGGACCCCAGGTTCAAATCCGTGCCCTGATCCTGCTCTGCCAGCAGGGAGCAAAGGGCTCAGCCCCTCTCCTTCCCCCAGGGAATCAGGCAAATCCCAAGGGGAGGGCTGTTATTCATTATCCTTCCAGCCTGGAGAGAAGCTCCTTGTTGACCCACAGAGCAGGAACAAGCTCTGCCAGCCTTGGACCGGCCAGGATCGTCCCTCATCCCCGGTGCCGGAGCAGCCGGAGTCCCACTCGCTCCAGCAGCATCTCGTGGAGAGGCCGACGGGATGGTAAGGAAAAGCCAACGCAGCCAAGAGGGGAATTTCTCAGGTTTTGGGGTGGGAAGGGTGGTCTAGGCAGCCATGCGCTGCGGTTGAGGCTGTCGGGACGATGCGGTTTTATTACCAGCTTTGATATGGACTTAATAACCAACATTGCCTTGATGAGAAATAGGAAAGGTGTCTTGGAAAAGAGAGAGAGGGAAGGAAAGCCAACAGATTCCCTGGATAAATCAGGTCAGGCTCTGGCTGCTGAACTGGAGTGTTTTCTAGCCTATGGCTTTTCAGTTTTCTCCATTTTGTTCTTTTTTTTTTTTTTTTTCCCCCTAATTTTTTTCTTTCTCTCTCCCCCTGTACCCTGGCTCACAGACCAGCTCTGAGTTTTAACTTGCAGGGGGGATGCTGTGGGGCAGCCCCAGCCCCACCTCCCCCTCGCCCCGAAGGCTCCCTGCTGCTATCTAGGCTATCATCTCCCTTAGCTTTCTGATGGCCCTGGCTCCAGGCAGTGTTACCTCCCTGGGCAGGTTGATGGGCCATCCACTGTCCCTGCCCTGCCCAGCCCCTAAAAACAGCCTGGGGGGCTGGGGTGGTGGGGGAGAAGGAATGG